AAGATAAAGTATAATAAATTTATAAATACTTAATTTAATAGTATACGTAATTTACTTATAAATATTACGTGCTTTAATCTCTTTACTCACGTAAGCTTTAAGCTTATTATTATATTATAATTATATAGCTTAAAGGGTATATAATATAATAAAGTTATTCTTTACCTTAAGTAAGAGTTATTAATCTAATAATAGGCTTACGTAAGCCTTTATTAAAGTAAATTAAAGGGGAGTAAGTAACGTATTAATTAAGTAATTTAATTAATTAAGGTTTATAATATTTTAAAGCTTATTAGCTTAAGCTTAACCCTTTAATACTTTATATTAATTATACTATTAGCTTAAAAGCTTTAGCTTAAGCTTAATAAATAATTAGGTATTTATAAGAGTAATATTAGTATCTATTAAATGCGTAAATATAATAAAATAAGTATTAAAATAATACCTTAAATACTTAGTTTTCTTAAGTGAAAGTTATAAGAGATTTAAAGTTCTTTTAAGCTTATAATTATTATACTTTAAAGAGTATTAATTATAATAATAATATATATATATAAGTTTATATTTAGCTATAAAAGAGAGAATTATATACGCTCTTTTTATAAGTGCGCTTATTATTAGAGTTATTTACTCGTAGTTAAGGGTTTACCCTTATTTGATTAAGCGTACGTAATTTGTACCCGTAACAAGTGACCCATTCTGACAATCGTTCAAGTCCAGGGACAGCCCCTGGGCGCTTCCCGATCGCCGTCGTAGCCAATCACGGCCTGCCGTTCGACAGCAGGTGATCTCTAGTTCTCTACGGCGCCAACTTGCATACGACCAACACCTCTCATCGTGTTAAGAGATCTTGCCCTTTTATTCTGCAGCCTCGTATGCTTTATCCGCCGATAGCCAACTCCTTTGCGCGCGTCAGGAGGGCATGAGACGTCATCATTGGCTAGCCAGATCCTGTCACTCTGTGCTTGTGGATACTTCACCAGCAACATTCGGCGTCAACTTGGATAAAATGATTTGGGATTTCGCATATTTCATTTATATCCAAGTTGGAGTAACGTCGGCATGTCATGTCGTAACGGACTGTACATGTTCGCGCGTTGCGCTCCACGGCATACCAACTTCTGCTGTATGATTTCCAGATGCAAATCGAAGCATGCAATCCAGCCTTTTGTCACGATTAGTACTTATAACTCTGGTCGAGGGATCCGCCTCCACAGACAGAATAGCAAACAACACCACGTCGCAACACGAGGAAGGTTATGTGGGATTTGTTGAAGACCCTAGCGGAAGGGGAACTGCATCCCTCGTATTGTCATGCCTGCTGACACTCGTTCTCTGCGTCTGGTCCGCTCTGCATCTCAACGTGCCCGAAAAAAACCGCACCGCTATCAATGCTCTCTGGACAAATCTTCGATGGATCGTTGCGGGCATATACTCTCCTGAGCTGGTTGTATTTGCTGCCTGGCGTCAGTGGTGCTCAGCACGAATGCTCAACGCTCACATAGAAAGTCTAATGCAGAACCGAAAGCACCAAAAACAGCAGAGCGCTGCTACCCAGAACCAGCAAGGTGACAAACTTGACGGCCATACCTATCCCACGGCTTCTTGGAGCATGGCCCATAGCTTCTTTTCTTGCGCCGGCGGATTCGCCTTTGAACTCAACACGCTTACGGGCGCTCTAGTCACCGATTCCGATACAACAGACGGAGAAAGTGCGGAACCTACGAGGCTGACGTTGACCGCAAGGGGAATACTGATGCTCGCCGATTGTGGCCGCTTGCCGGTCGTCGAGAGAACAGAAATCGAGGACAAAGGCAAAGCAAATGATTTGGCAAAGGCTACAGTCATTGTCCAGGCAACGTGGATGTTGATTTAGGTCATCGGTCGACTCGCCGCCGGATTACCCGTAACCTTGCTGGAAGTCAACACGGTCGCCCATGTGTAAGTTTACAACCAAATCTCAATTCCCTTACGCTCTTCCTCAGCTGTCTTCTCTAACAGGTAATGCTTGTACCAAGTCTCTGTGCTTTCGCCATGTACATCTTTTGGTGGCACAAGCCACTCCTCCCCAACGAGCCCATTATCCTCCGGGACGAATCGCTTGCTCCGCTGGTTGCCTTTATGTACTCTGGCAGCGAGATGAGCGGCCGGCATGAGCCGTGACCATGTTAAATCACAAACGCTCATCAAGACGCTATTCGCCCATCTGAACCTGTACTCCAAGACTCCAGAGCTAGAAACGCTACGCCTGAGAGTCACCGCGTTATCTCCAGCGCAAGCAAGCGACGCCTTCAAACCCGTATCAATGGCCAGCCAGCACGAACCCAACGCACTTGAGCCTCAACTCGGGGAGGCAGTAATACAGCAAGCTCCGGCTTCCTGCCTCAAAACGCTCGAAAGCATGCGCCAAAAGGACTCGGGAACAGCATTCTTCGAGCGAAGACCGCGCATCTTCCAAGACCGCCCAGCATTGGAGCAACCCTCCAATTCCGAACTCAAACGCCGAGCCCTCATTCAACAAGCACTCCGATCATACCCCAATCTCCTAACCCACGACCGTGTGTTGCTCACCCACCAAGACCCAGGCTCTACCTCATCCACAAACCCCCATCACTGCATCCACCTCTTGCGGGGACAACTCCTGGCCACGCACATAAAAAACTGGCCGGGAAACGACCTTGTGCGCAACGTCAACGGTCTCATTGTCGGCATGATACTTTGGCTCGCCAACCTTTGCTACGGAGGCTTCCACGCCGCTGCCTGGAATGAACACTTCTCCTCAACAGCAGAAAAACACCTCTGGCGCTTCTCAGCGGCTTACATAGCCTCCTGCGGTGGATTCTGAGTGCTTCTCAACTCAGCCGTTGCACGATGGGCCGTTCTCAATTCCTTTTGGGAAAAGTGGATGGATGGGAAGAGGTCTCTGGTGCAAAGTGCAGCGCTGGGTATAGTCGTCTTCGTGTGCGGCTTCAGTTTGTTTCTTGCAAGGATAATTATTGTTGTAGAGGCCGTTTTTGAGCATTAGGGAGCTGCCGCCCAAGGCTTACGATACGCCCGAGTGGTCAGATGTCTTTCCTCATTTTTGATACAATAGCTCCGTCAGGATAAAGACATAGCGTGTTGGGCTGGGTAATTCATTGAACCGTCGTTCTTATTTTTTAGTCCCCGGTCGTTACGGAGTACACTTTCCGCTATACAAACACCACCACCATTCCCTGAACAGCTCCTATTTCTGCCCCCCCGGTAGCGTTGAGCCCAATTTTGCCAACAACAGACACCGTGTGAACGGTGACAATAATCCATCCACTCGTCAGACGACGCAGTTTACCGCTGCCACTCGGTGTTTTAACCCATGGTTTGCTGTGAAGTGAGTCAAGTCAACAGCAGAACCCAGTCACCACAACAGTTAATTCTCATCAAAACATTCACAATTCGTAAATTCAGAGAACCGTATTTCAATTCACTCAATCGGGTATATTTCATCCGTTGTTCTTGCAATCCACCTCCACAACCAAGAGTTCAGTAATCTAACAGATCTCATCCGCAATTGCAAGGACAAGTTCCGGTGACCATTCTCTCCAGGATTGTTTACCGCGGCTAGAGCGCCAAAATGCCAACAGAATAAAACAGAAATATACCATTTATCCACTCCATGTATTGATTTCGCAATTCTCAACCCCTTCAGTTCCAATGCACTAGTTTTGCGAAGGGCAACAGAAGAAAGCCCCCGAAGACCATTCCCATCATCAACCACGTATATCTGAGCCAGGGTATTGTCTTCAAACTTTTTTTTTGGCCTCAAGCATGTCTTTAGTCGAACTCGCGGGTATAAAGGAGGCACCGATAGCAGTCATCAAGACTGGGCTAAGCCCCAACATAACCAAAAAGAAAAAAAAATGGACATCAAGCAAATCTCATGAGGCATCTGCGGCATCGCAACAAAACACAAGCGTAACTCAGTTCGAAACATCGCACTGTAAACAATACCAAAATCCGACCGATGTGGAACCTGACGTTCCAGGGTATTCTGTTTTTATTCTGTGAGGGGTATATCCAGCCGGGGTATTCGCATGTAGTTGTTCTAACTCGGGGAATCTAACGGAAAGGCCCAATATGGGCGGGGTATCCTGAATTCATGGAATGAGAAGTAGATGGACGACCGCTGTCTCCAGACGCGCGGGTATTATGGCGGGGCGTAACATCGCCGGGAAGGGGGATGGCCAATTTGTTGTCCATATGTTTGCTGAACGGTCGTGGTGCCCAAGGATTCTCGTCCTCGGGTAGGTTGACCCCACTGTCGTTCCAGGGGTTTCGGTCAGCGTTGAAGCTTCGGGTCGACTCGATCGAGATTAAAGACGACTTGGAAACGTTGCTGGATCCCTTGAAGAAGTTGCTGTTCATCGAGTGAGAGCTATTCTTTCTGCGGTCAAGGAACGAGGAAATAGACGTCATGCTGCCGGGCTTGCGCAGGCGGTCAAGAATGCTGCTTCGCTCACGGGCAACCTCGGCACCAAAGCCAGTTTTGACGGGTGAGTCGCTGGAGGACGAAGCTGGAGCATGCTGGAGGAGCTTAGAATCAAAGTACTGTAAGGAATCCTCAAAAGAGTCAGACTTGGGGCGCGGGATGGATCCCTTGACAACGTTCGCCTCAACGGTGGCAGCAGCCATTTGAGCTTCCAGGAAATCGATGGCGTCGCGGAGCCCGCCTGCGTTGTTACGCGTGAAACCCCAGACCAAGGTAACGGTCGGAGAGCCTTCCTCAGTCAGCTCATCCGGGTTCTGATGATATGTAACCTCCACTTCGTACTGGGCTTTGAGCTTCGATACCAGGTCGGTGGCGAACTGGGGCGATTCCAAGAATTTGACTAGATCGGCTGTGCGGGCCAGCACCAATTCATGCTTATCAGGGACCATACCCAAAAGCTCGTCCACACAGTGAGGGACCTGCCACTGAGGGCCAGTAACGGTAACCTCATCACTTGCTTCCTCAGTACTTGGGAAGTTGATTTTGCAATTGTACTTTTGCTCCAGCTCATCGATTTCAGGGAGACGGGCGATCAATTCACGGTGGTAAAGGCGGTCCACGCTAGCAATTTGAGTGGTGTACTCGGAGTCCTGACAAGGCACGAGAGCGTTAGGAATGGCTTCTGTAAGTTGCCAGGGGCCATCACTTACAGCACGATCCACCATTTCCAAAATCTCATTCTTAACGGCATCTAGATTCTGGGCGTTGCGAGCCGGGGTACGGCAGATGACATTGTCAACCTTGATGTCATCGTCCTCGCGTCCCATGCCGCCTGAGGTAACTGTTAGTAACAAAAAAATTAAACATACAGGATTTGCCAATCAAATCATACCTCTGTCCATTGCATTGGAAAACTTCACAAAGACAGAATGTTTCTTCATGATGCGTTGGATATGCTGTCCGCCAATACCGATGATACGCTTGTGGTACTGATCAGGGACATGGAAGGAGATAGAGGCAGGCATCTCCTGTTCAACCAAAGTCAAACCTTGCTTCATTGAATCGTAGCTGGCTGCCATGACATCAATGTTGAAGTTATATTCGTTGAACCCATCAAAAATAATCTGCACATTACCTGGGAAATATTCGTTAGAAGACATGCGGTAAGGCGGCTCTGGTAGGAACTCACTCTGGCCCATGATCTTATTGATTTTGCCATTCTTCTTGCCGCTCACAAATTCCTTGTGCTCATTGGCAAGTTCAATCTTGACGCGGATCTGATATTGCGATCGGGTAACAAACTTGAGGTCAGATATCACAGTCAAGGCAGACTTTACTGCATCGTCAGATCCCGTGACAGTGAAGCTCATCCTGTCATAAGACAAATCCGCCTCCGCGTTGGCACAAATGTCTGACAGCATAGTTCGTATCTCAGCGGGGGCGAGGTGCTGCCTGACTTCGGGCTGCTGTATGTACCACCCAGCGCCATAAAACTGGCCAGCCTAGTTGAGGATGTCAGGACAAGAGCTTATGAACAGAGCGTTGCCGGACACTTACCAGTGACATGATCTCTCGAACCGTGCGTTCAACGGGTAGGCTCTCACTTCCCTGAACCCGGACCATAGTTCGTTGACAAGCCAGGGGGGGAAACATGATGTACGTTCCATTAGCCTCTAGAATCTTGCGGACCTTATCAAGACGTCCGAGAAGGATACTATCAATCTTGGCAGCGGGGATGGTAACGTCCTTCATATAGACCCGGATTCTAGAGACTGTCTCATGCAGCTTCTGCTTGGCAAGTTCGATCGCCTGGATCGTTTCACCTGTGATGAAGATATCGGTGGGGTCCCGGCGAGTGGCATTTTGAGGACAGTAGCGATACATCTGCGAGAACAGGGGTGGGAAGTAAATAGCAGTCCCGGTAGATGACTCAATCAACTTGATGTTCTTTCTATGGCGGCCACAAACAAGTTGGTGAAATGACAGCTCAATTTTCGTGACATCAAACGTACGGCCAAGCTGTAAGTGGAGTTAGTAAAAGAGAGAGAAACACGCAACAACTCTATCAGGGTTTCTCTGCAATAACGAGGGTGTTGCCTCCCAATAAGAACGGGGGAATCTGAGAACAAGTCATACCAGAGTATCAATGTGAATCAAGACACGGGCTTTGGCATGCTCTGACGAGAGAATATCACCGTAAATAGCAACTCTCCATCGCTGGTCAATGCGCAACTCCGAGTCGCCGGTCATGCCGTCAACTATGGGAGTCAACTTGGGCCCTAGCAAGAAGATATCTACACCACAGAATCTAGAGATGTGATCCAATGTTTCTACAACGGGCTTCTTGAGCACGCCGGCGTTGATATCACAAACAAGGTTTCCGTCAATGTCGATTGTCGTGCAACGCTATCAAACACAGTTAGACAGGCACCTGAACTCTTGCTGCAACCTAATAGAAACATATACAACTCAATTCGAGGGTTCCATACCAAAGAGATGGGTATCTCATTCAAAATAGTCTCCCGACTCTTGTGTACTAGCTCTGGAGAGCCAGATAGGCAGACCGTAGTAACTTGGCCTTTGCCATTCTTAGAGGAGGAAGAGATGACATGGGCCTCAATGGGCAGTGGGCCAACAGACAAATCTCGACAAAGTCTTCCGAGGTTGGCGAGATTCTGGGCATGGACCGGCAACTCATGGACTTGCACATCGTCGGGAGCATCAGCAGGGTGCGTCCAGCGGAGGACGGCATCGGTAGTGGCATGAACGATGTCCTCGGTATTGGGACCCGCAAGGTCGGAGGCGAATGGCACGTTAAACGAGTAGTGAATAGAGGCATCGGCAGCCTGTGGTGAGTTGATCGGGCCCAAGGTCTGGGCCGCGTTCTTTTGATGCGGGTTGAGGCCATTCATAGGCATATTAGGACGACCCATTCCGAAGTTCGGGCTCATCCTCTCGGACCAGTGACGCATATTGGCCAGCTTGTTCATATTGAGTGGGCAAAACGCACGAGAAGGCAAGGCTAGGAGGGCCTGTTGTCGACGACGGGGCGGGCGTAGAAGCAGTTTAGTGACACTCTCTCAACGAAGAGGCGACATGCAAAGGCACTAGCTGGCGCGAAACAGTGACCTTTGGGCGAGACAAAAAGAGACAGCTGCTTGGGTATCACCAGGGCAAGGAGCGAACCGTCAAAAACGCGGGAAACAAGCACAGAATAGAAGCGAATTGTCAAATAGATAAAGAAAGAGAGGGTATCCGGGGTATCGAGGACGGAAAGCTGGATCCGATGCGTTGGGCGGAAGTGAAGAAAACAAAATCTGGGGGTGGGAAAGGGGGAAGAGAAAAGGGAAGAGACGGTTGGCACGCAGTTCCTTTTCCTTTTCCTATTCCTCTCTGTTCGTTGAATAGGTTGTTTCGTCGGTAGGTGTTGAAAGGAAGAGAGGAGACGATGAGGACGAGTGCAAGTGAGCGAGGAGGGTGGAGAGGCGGAGGGAGTGGAGACAGAGCAGGGCCTGCCAGCCTGCCAGGCCATGCCTTCAACATCCAACACAGCTTAGCTTAGCACAAGGATACCAAGCGAATATCGATATCAAGCAATAAATAAGTAATAAGCACCGAGAATCAGCGCTGGAGCGGGCAGGCCTTGGCTGTTACCGATACAAGGGATTCTTACTACAAAGCGAGCCGTTAGGTCGGCTGACACTATCGCTCTCCATGGACCTGGGACAAGGGCAACAACATCAACACGGACAGCAAAAGCCCAGCAGGCCCACCAGGCCTATAGTCTGTAGGTCTTTGTAGGCTCTAGTCTACAATCTACGGTCCGAAGTGGGCAGATCATTGGCAGGGCTCGGCAGCACCACATCACGGTACAAACATGCCAGCCCAGCACGCCGGGGTCTCTAGGCAGGGAGGGGACTCAGCTTTGTGTGATGGTGTGAATACGGAGCAACCGCAACACTGAAGCCAGACATTGAGCTAAAGAGATCATCAGGATCAGGCATCGCAAAAGGGACCCCCAGGTCCTTAAGCAACCAACGTCAGCAATTACGGCCACTTCAGGAAGTGAAGCGGTCCAATTACGAGGGCCATGATGAGCTGACGTTGAATTTGGAATCGACGCAACATAGAGCGTTCGCCAAAACGGACAGGTCAAAATGCAGCCTTCTCAAGAGTTAGGAGATTGTAACGATGTGGTGCTCGAAGGAGAACAAAACTCACCAGACCTCTTCAAAGCAGGGTAGAACGCGTGAAGGTGGTGGAACATCAACAGTCTGTCTGACAGTGGGCAGCGAGTAGTGTTGATGGAACTTGGCACGCAACATTGCTCGAGCCATCAACCATGGACAAGCTGGGAACATTGAATGGCTGGTTCTTTTAGGTTCTGCCCGCTTTCGTGTGGTGGGGAACCTCCGAGCTCGAACGCTTACTTGCTGGTCGCAGGGTCTTCCATTCTAAGTTGATAGTAGTTGACCCCTACAGAAGTATTCCGTACTTCACTCGACCAGCACTTGGGCTGCTCGGTGGACTAGATAACAGTGAATCGACCAACCACCTGGGCGGTGGCAGTTGACACTAGGACCCGACGACATCAACTGGTTCGAACTGGATGGAACTTTCAGAAATATCCCAGCACCTAGCCCTGCCCTGCTGACATGGACCAGTTGACGCCCTCGATCCCAGCGTGTACAGCCCCAATGCCGCAAACTGTAAACTGTGCGTTGAGGTGCAGGTATCCATCCCCTTGTAGGAGGTACTTGGGTACTTGGTGCGTACTTTGCCATGTACGGAGTACCGTATCCCGGATCAGCCCCTCTGGGCATGAATGGGCTGGCACTGCCAGCTTCGGCGTGTTCGGCACTGGAACGCATCCCCAACACTGACTGTCGCTGCCGTGACAGGGGAGCAAGTGCAAAGCCTTCACAAGGACACCGAACATGTACTCCGTACGAACCTCCAGAGTTGGACGCAGCCCCTTCAGGTGCATGTGGGCGAAGCACGCCTGTCAACATGGAATCTGGCCTGTGAGTGGCAGATCACAGGGCCACTGCTGAAGGGTGGAGGTTGGTGTCAGGTACTACGGATACTGCCCAGGCAAACAGGGGGTCAAAAGGCATGTCGACAGACTGGTATGAAATACAGCATTACAAGGTGCAGCTGCCATATTGTACAACAAATCAATTGATGTATGTGCCGTTACTTGGGCCATGCCAAATACTGCAGAACGTTGAAGTCAGTCCCGGCCAGCCTGTCCTTTTTGGAGTGCCATTGAAATGCCTGGCAAGACCCAGTGGCTAATGCACGACCATGTACGAAGCCGAGCAGAGTTCTCCATTAAGAATCATGAATCCTGTCCACTCTGCACTCGGAACTTGGTGCTTGCTTCTCATGCGCGCAAGCAACACTTGAAGGCGGCGGGTTCAGAATTGGCGTACAGTCAGTCGAGAAGACACCATGACAGCCAATGACGACACGACTCGGTCGATTTCATTGCCCCATCGACAAGTTTGTCTTACCCAAAAGGATGGCTGCCTGCCAAAACCAAGTCTTGGTCCATTGGCGGCAGTCTCGTGACATGGGCATGTTGTAAATAGAAAGTCGCAGGGAGGAAAAGACGCGTGTCTAAGTACTACCTAGTAGAATATGTCGGATTGGGACTGTGTTGGTTGCTGGTTACGCTCACTAGCAGCTTTGTCGAAACGCCGGTGGGAGCGTCTGCTCCTTTCCCTTGTTCAGGGCGTCTTCCACGTACATACACACAACCAGGGCCCTTGTACTTGCAGGATTGCCCGGCTGAATGGGCACATGCAATTGCGATCCCAGCTCTCCACATGGCTAGTGGCTACTTGGGAGAGGTCTGGTGGTCCAAGCTCTCTCCAATGAACCGTCCTCGAGCCTTCTTGGCTGGTGGACAGGAGGCCTGGCCAGCATCTGGTTCGGACAACATGTAGCTGCTTTTCGTGACTTTGCAATGTACCCGAGCGTCTTGTCTTGCATGGGCAACCAAGTGATACGTAAAGTTGGGCATCGTGGACAGATCTTTAGCTTGATGTTCCCAGTGGATTCGTGCCTCCAATCTTTTGTGTTCTTGACCCAATGGATTAACTGCACGGAATAGACTATTCGAGTGGCATGTTGTTCGTTGTCCACCGAGGTCTTATCATCTATTACGTTTCCTGGGCCCCAATAAACCACACGTCCAGAGCATATTAACGGTTTTTTCTTTTTTGAGGGGCAATTGTTTCAGCGAAAACTTAGCCAACAGTCTGCGATGGTATGTACATACCCAACAAACCCAAGAGCTTTTGAACTCGGGGCAGGCAAACGCTCGGTGCGCACTGTGCGTTGTTTCCGCCAGTTTTGTGTTCCGTCTCTCCCGGTAGAGGAGATTGGTGGTTTCTTATTATCAGGGCAGCGCGGTAGCCTCCATTCCCTTCCATTCCTTGCAGGAGACTGATGGGCGGCCAAACCACCAACGGCCATGGGCAATTTGCATGCAGGTCCTTGAAGTCTCTGGCTCGCAAGCAGGGTCAAAGTACTCTCTCTACACTTTGATATTTCCATGGCCCGAATGTCTCGTGTCTGCATGAGCGAATCGAGTGCCGGTTTCGAGAGCGAGGCCCGGAGAACCTCTGGTCTCCTTCTTGGTCTTCTCGTGTGAGATCTCAAGTTTGGAATTGCCCCTGCCCATCTCTGTTCAAATCTCCCCCGCGCCAGCAGATGCACTGCCCACCCACTCGAACCAAGCAAGTGTGCCTTTGTCTCCCGTGTTCCGTCGTTCCGACAGTACCCCACAGTATCTAGTGATCGTCTTCCTCAACGGAGTGCTGGGCAGTGTTGCAGTTTTCTCCGTCATCTATAGAATGGAGTGTCTCATAGCTGGACGGGCCGACGCTACGACAAGGAGTCTGTCTCTATTTCGATTCATCTGAAGTGGGAATGACTACGGAGTATTAAGTCAGAGCGAACACAATATTGTGCAGGTTGATATGCCCTATCGACATTGTCGGATGTGCCTGCCGTTCTGGTCCAACGCTTGGATACTACGGAAGTAACATATGGCTCAATCTTGGAGACATGCCGGGTTTAGTGCTTGCCGTTCTTGCCTGGGCTTCCGAACACGAAATGCCTCAGTACCTCGGCAGATATATGAGCCACGTATTGCTTAGATTCCACACTCTAGGGACACGTAATCGAAGATGCATTAATGTAGAGGAGGAATATGGGGGAAGTGGCACCAACGAGTCTATTTATCATTCTCTGTAGCAAGAGATGGACACGTTTAATATCCAACGGAGGGCCTCGAGGCAAATTAAAACTTACCCATCATACTTGAGCTCACAATCGGTCTAGAGGACTCTCCGTTTGCTCTGTTAAACTTCTAATGGAAAACAATAAATACATGCTACAGTGTCTGCTATAGATGCCAGGCCTAACGCTCCCTACTTAGGTACTCAGGCATGCTTACACACTATTATCTGCTGTGCCTTCTTTGCGGTTTTACGGGCTTCCCTGGCGCCGCATCAATACCGACTGCCATCCCAACAGCCTTTCCAACGGTATCAGACTTCAAACGCATTTGGCATCCGCCTTTCCATACTCGAGTAGGACGTGACATAACGTCTGCCTCCTCGTGTCGAACGGCCCGTCCCAACAGTTGGTTCTCGAATGCCATGCAACCCCCTTCTCCACACAGGTTGTCAACCAGGTCAGGAAGTGAAAGATCGTCTCCCTAGAGTCGAGAAGACGGTAATGGGAATTTTTCGCTATGCCTGGTTGTTCAAGGCGGAATCCGACCGTGTTTGGTTCCCTGGCCGAAGCAGCATGTCCAACGGGATGATGATCTTTGTGCTTGTCCATACAGAAAAACTCTCGTTCCAAAGCTTTGCTATGCTGTCAACAATGACGTAGAATAGCCGTTCAAGGAAGATGAGAGAAAGTCTCGCTCAGAGGTTGTAGCGAGCAGTTTGGCAAGCCCGAATAGATTGTATATTATTGCGCCTCTTTTCCGAACTGCACTGGTAGAGATCGCAGTCCATGGTTGAGTTGATGACCATGTTAAACTGGTCGAAGATGTCGCCTTCTTGCCAGCCCTGAAAAAGCACATTGCAGTGCTGGAATCTCCCAACGTTCTTCATATTGACAACAGTTTTCTCATCGTGATACCCACGAAGTTGGCCGGCGGGTCTATGTTTATATTCTAACAGTAGGTCTTTGAGGATTCCATCTTCCGGATGGTCCCAAGTGTTCCGTACAGGCACGAGCTGCATATACGTAAAACTGACTTGAGCGGCGGGCTACCGGATCGAACAAAATTTTCGTGTATGCGAAGTTCAAGAAGTATTTGATTGCAACGTTCTGAGCGATATACAAGAGCCCAACGTAATGTGCCCACCTCGTGCATGAGAGAATTGGAAGCAACCAGACCTGAGAGCAACAAGCTGAGCGGAAACTCCACTCCGAAATCGAGAATAATGCTCACTCATACATCAAGGCAATGCAAGAGGAACATGTGCCCGTCAGACAGCACGGATTACAAGCCCTTGGCTTTCCTTCATGATACTTCACGATGCCTGCTTTAAAATGTGATTGCGTCACCATACATATGTTTCATTGAGGGTATCTATCCGACAACAGGTTCAGCCAAAATCAGTCTAACACTGGGACCTCTTCGGGATCACTGACCCTCAGATTGTCGACATTAGACTCCTTTACGATCATCTATACACTTCTCGCCTCACATCGTCCGTATATACTATCTCCTGAGTGGCTCCACGAGGCCGCTCAATAAATGCAGTCTCTTCCCCGGTCCGGGGTTGCCCGTTTAAGGGACGATCCCCTGGTCGAACGCTAAACTCCCGCTGCATGACGGGCTCTTGAATTTGGCCAGGCCTATACTCTCTCATATAGGGTTGGAGCACTTCATGGTGACCATCTGGATGGGCAGTGGCTCCGAAATCTGCTGTCCCCTGCGCCTCTGGTCGGACACTAGGAACGCGTCCATACTCCGCAGGCAGCTGATATCGAAGGGTTTCCACTGGACGCATACTGGACTGACCACCTCCATAGGTTTCTTCAATGTATCTTCTCTCCGACGGAGCTAATACTTGGACAAATCCCCCATGAGGCGGTGGCGCCCTCGCCGAAATCTCCCTCTTCCATACGTCTCTGTAATCGTGGCTGACATACTCTGGCTGTGTTACGACACGGCGAGGCACGACGTAGGCTTGGTTAGATGATGCGTAAACAACGCCGTCATCTTCATACGGCCCCGGAGCAGGATGGCGAGACACGGCACGGGGCGGTAAGCGTTCGTACAGCACTTCATGTTCACCATGCCTGGAAGGGGAAGTAGCAGAGATGCGGGATGGTGAGTGATGGAGTGGCTCAATATACTCACGGCCATGGGCATCGACCAATATCCTTGTATGGGTTGACCTCGCGGGTGCGATGAAGGTGTCGCCCTCTGTATGGCCGGTCATTCGAGGGCCATCACGATATTCACGGTATTGGCGTGAGGGAGCCGGATACGGATCAGTCACCATTACCCGCGAAATTGATCTTGAAACAGGCGTAGCTCGAGCCGGGTACGATATTGTTGGGTGTTCAACCTGTGCCGGACGAGGCCCTAAATCTTCACCACGGAACTGTCGCACATCGTAGTACTCCCCACTGTGATACCGTACATCACCAGGCTGCGGCTGATGGTGAGCAGCCGGTCTGGCATATCCTACTGGTATGGGCTCTTCTCTGTACTGTCTTGTTATGTACTGGACTCCATCATCCTGAACATACCGCGGTTCGTGCTGGGTTGTGGCAAGCGGCTCTTGCTCATGCCTAGGGCGCTTGGTTGGGCGGAGATAGGACGGGGCTGTCAACGGTGAAGGTGATCTAGGTTCAGGTTTGATGTATGGGGCTGCCTCAGGTTCTGGGGCTTGCCTGTCTGCCTTCCTTTTCTTCTTCTTCTTCCCTTTTTTCTTTCCGCCCTGCGATGAGCTATCGGGGCTAATTACAATGTTCGATTCGGTTCTGAGTGCGGCAACTTGTGCAGGAGTGCCCATACCGCTTCGGCCACCAACTATGGGCGTATCATGTACCGTCGACGATGCAGTCGCTAACGCGCTAAGAGCCGAAGGGTGAGTGGGCTGTGGTGCAACAGGCTGCAAGGTGTGGTTTCGAACGAGAGGGGACGGTGGGTGGCTGTCAAGATGTTCATTGTTACGGTGGTGGGAGGCATTCAATGGCTCGTAAGCCTTAGCTGCTTCCACGTCCAAATGATCCTTCTCTCCAGATTGGCTCGCCACATTGCTCCTGGTTTGGCCGGCTCCCTGGACGTAATTGTTTAGCCCGGGAACAACGCTCACGAAAGGAGGTCTAGAAGCGCTTGCCGTCGGAAGATGGTTGGTCTCATTCGGCCGCGGTGGACATGTTCCAGTTGTTGTATCCCCATTATCATCGTGAGGCCTTGGTGACAACTTTTTGGCCTGTTGAGAGGCTTCTCCAACATCAAGTTCTTGAGAGTTAGTAGTTTGAATTCCTTCAGATTGATTACGAATACGTGAGGTTAGATGAGACTCGGGAGTATCATGACGAGACGAATAAAAAGTGCTGTCGTCCAAAGAATCACTGGTGGTTTCGGCGTTAGCGGTCAAGTTCTCACCATGGGTGATTGGCGCAGATGTAGTCTGAGCCAAAACGAGGGCTCTTGCGAGCACATCAGATAGATCGAGGTCAGGTATGAGCTCTGCCGGGCTATTTTTTGCAGCCCGACGTTGTTCCACTTCTTCCTTGATGGCGCGTTCCAAGCGCTGCCGCTGAATCTGCAGCTCGGCTCTAACGAGCGACTCAGATTTTTCCAGAAAGATTGGATTCAGCTCGGGGGGGCCAGAATTAGGCTGGGTAAAAGCAGCGGAGGAGTTGTCTCCATTGCCATTGCCATTGCTACTGCCAGTCTGCTTTGCCTCCGCTCTCGGTTCCAGCGCGATTTTTCGAAGCGACAACGGTTCTAACGATGTGTTCGACCCTGGTGGAGCCTTCAGCGTGGGATGTCTGCCAGACAAGATAGCGTCGCGAAGCTGCACAATCTTCCTGTACTGCTCAATCTCGAAAATTTCTTCATCAGACAAATTTGTCGACGAAAGCCCAGCGCCTGTGGGCGTGTAGGCTGCCGACTCTGCCTGGGCCATTGCACGCAGCACACCGCGTCGAACTCGGGGTTCCGTCTAGGCAATCCACGCAGTCTCCCGATTGACTCCTTGGAGTAATAAGGATGCAAAAGTGCGCCTGTACAAGCACCTATGACAATCTCAACAGAACTTGACATGTGCTGGCCATAGCGTAATAACAACTTTCTGGCTGTTTGCGGCGGGAGGGTGCAGTAGATGGCCGATTAACAAGTTGGGAGAGGAAATGAATCAAGAATGCTCATAGCATTAGAGGTCTAGAAGTTCGATACGGAATTCCCACCCCAAAGAATTGGGCGGTGAGCACGTGTCGGTCCGGCAAAATTCTTGCGGCGGTGCCCTTTGAGGCAGGAAGGGGGGGGCTCCAGGCCAGTCAGCTGCTACTATTACAGACACTGAAGTGTTTCATGTGGGTCTATTTGCATGTGGGCAGGCCGCAAAGAGTCGCAGCTGTTATTTTACTGGGTGCATGCCGTGGAGGGAGGCCAAAGAAGGCTAAGCCTGTTTGGGTCTCTTAGTTGGTACATACCTCCAAAGTGCTGGGCTTCATCCCCCCAAGAACTGTTTTTGTCTTCACAGCCACGGCTCAGATCGTAACAATATATCCTCATTGAGAGTCGTCACATTTGAAAGCAATTGCCCTTTATTGTAAGAGCTCGGAAAGTCGTAATATGCAGTGCCAATGGTGATAGAATAAATGAGGTTAGCATTGGGTTGGCCTCTTGGATATACACCGCAAACGAAGCAACTTTGGCAAGGTCTCAAAGCCAAAATAAAGCATGTAACATAACTTTGGCTCAAGGGTATAACTCCTGTATACTCACGTAGTCTATTGGCTAGAATCCCGCGCCGCACCAAGTGCGTTGCGCAGTCCAAGATCGACTTCTTTCCGACGTGCTTATCCTATCAGAGGACCTACTAACCTCCGTACTCGCTTACATAGGTCCGAGTCCACCCCGAGTCACCACACGTGCATAAACTCCATCCGTCATGCAACTCCGAAAAACGATGCCTAATACACTTTTCTTCAACAACATATAAGTCGTGCGGTTTCCCGTCTTTTAGGCCGTTTCCTCTACTCTCCGGGCCTCCGACCCAATCATCAATTACGACTGCAGCCAGCAGCGTCCGCCGCCTTTTGCTGCCTCACATCCTATTCACACCATGACTGTCGTTAACGGAACAGAGCCCGGCAAACCGGTGCTTTTCTTGTATGTACCATTATACGGAAATTGCTTCCTGAAATCACGGGGACTAATGGCACTTTAACTTTGAAAGTGATATTGACAATTGTCTCTACTCACGAAGTGAGCCTTTGACCACGGTCGATGAGTCAGCGGATGTACTAACTTTTTCCCGAAGGCACCAAAGTTCAGGACCTGATGGCAGAACTGATCGACAAGTACTTTGCTAAACACCTTGACCTTCCCTGGGAGGAAGCCGTCAGGCTTCACAAGGAGTACTACACTAGTTATGGGCTGGCCATTGAAGGCCTTGTCCGCCACCACCAGATCAACCCTTTGGAATATAATGCTGAGGTCGACGACGCCTTACCACTACAAGATATTATTAAACCTGATCCGGAGCTGCGGAACCTGTTGGAGGGTATCGACAAATCCAAGGTCAAGATTTGGCTCTTTACCAATGCCTACGTCACCCATGCCAAGAGGGTTGTCCGCCTCCTTGGCATTGAGGATCTCTTTGATGGTCTCACCTACTGTGACTACTCACAAATACCCCTGATCTGCAAGCCGCACCCTGATATGTACACAAAGGCCATGCGAGAAGCTGGTGTCAGTGACGTCGAGGACTGCTACTTTGTTGGTATGTGAACGCCGCTTATCATGTCTGGGACCACATCGGCAGACAAGTCCCTTACTAATAACCGGCAGATGATTCGTTTTTGAACTGCACCAAAGCCAGAGATTTTGGCTGGACCGCAGCTCATCTGGTTGAAGAAGGTCTCCCGGTACCTGAAAAGACGGCTTCGCAGTACCAGATTCGGCACCTAAGTGAATTGCGAACCGTTTACCCGCAGTTCTTTAAAGCGGCTTGAGCGCAGAGTCTGGTTGTTTTCTAACAGGATAGAGAGAGCCAGCGGAATAAAGCGTTGAGGCAAGGGCCTGTTAAACTTTGGAATATTCTTGCCAAGGTCTAGATTTCACGTAGATGGACGTAACAATAGATGCCATATAACAAAATAATTCATCATTCAAAAACATCTCCAGGTATGACCCCACGCCTGTGAGCTCATGGCTTGAAAATCGTCCCCAACGCCACGCTATGCAATGAATATCACCAAGGTACTACAAGTTCAAGAAATTTCTTCATGGCCGTCGGACGCTGCGGATAACAGAGTCTAACTCTGCCAGGATTTGATCTCTCTCCTTCAAAGCATCTTGCCGTTGCGCTTCTGCCGCCTTCAGGTCCCCCTCGAGGTCCTTGATATTTCGTTCTTGGTCTCGTTCGCTGTTGTCTAGCCCGGGGAGGGTCGATATTAACACCTCTATTTGCTGTTCTTTGATTATAAGGTCACGCGATAGCTCTTCAAGCCCGGCAGCGAATTCGTCGGCAGGCAATGGGTCGACTCCGCAGGTCGTCAGTGCCCCGTACAACAATTAGGCTCTGGCTGTGCTTCATGTCCTCACCTTCTCTCTGATGAGGCTCCTGTTTTATGTCTCGAACTTTGTCGTTCGGACCCAGCGTCTCAAGATCGTGCCGCCTCTGTACGAAATGCAAACATGCGACGAACTGCTGCGCAAGCTGTGACAGGGTAAGTCAGTTCATGTCCGCAGAGTGACGCAGCTGGGGTGATTGCAATACCTGGTCAACTGCGTCTTGCAGCTGTGTTAACCGATCGCCCATTATAGCGCTGGGTGGAAGGCTGTTAATTGCGAGGCCACGACAAAGCTGTTCGGAGCAGTTCACGGCTGATTGGAGACTTGCTAGTTCGCAGCGACATCTGGAGGTGTAATTTGGCAAAATACACTGTAATGGCGCACTGTCGGCCGCTAGTCCGTCTGCCGGATCACGGGGAATAGACGATCCGGCCCACAGCGCCTTGGGCTCGTGGCTGCGGCTTTGGGAAGTGAACACCTTGTTGTCAGTGAGCAAGGGCAAAATACTTGTTCTTGGTACCTTCCCCCGTCTGATTCCACCACTTCTTCTCTGCGGTTTTGAACCTGCCTATCCCATTTACTTATTTATTACAAGACCGATACATTCGCTTCATTGTACATAATCGCGGCTCAGGCTCTAATTCACACAATGTCAGCACCGCCGCCGCCCAACGGTCCCCCCCAAGGCGGCATTCCCATGCCAATGCCTGGCCAGCGTCCCACGCCCGAGCAGATTGCTGAGATTCAGCGACGGGTCGCTGAGGATGCTGAAAAGGCCGGAATGACTGTTCCCGAATTCATTGAGCACATCAAAAAACAGGCGATGGAGCAGCAACGAATGCGCATGATGCAGCAGCAGCAGGCTGAGGCAGGCGAACATGTTCATGGAGAACACTGCAACCATGATCACGGCGACGGACACCACCATCACAATCACCAGCAAGGACAGCCTCAGCCAATTGTTCCTGGTCCACCAAACCCCAAGGCTCTAGCACTAGCCAAGTTCTTGAAAAGCCAGGACCTTAAACCTCGTACGAGTATTCTGAATGGAGAGCGAAAGGATATGTTTAGAGGTACGTCGGCCGTTGAGCTGCACAAATGTCAAGCTAACCTTGATTGCCGCAGTCAAGCGAGCACTACGAGCCCTACAAACCCCAGCGTACGAAAAAGCACGAAAGAAGAACCCTCTCCTACCCGAAATCACAGACCGGGCATCGCTCGAGAATGCCTTCAAACTCCTCCCATTAAGCATGCTTGCTCTGAGAGTCAGCAAGATTGAACCCGAGGAAGGACCCAATGGCAAGAAACCCAAGAGAACAAAGGGCCAATGGAACGTTCGCATTGAGCAACAGCAGGATGCCGGTGACGACATGTACTACGTGTGGCTATGGGAAGGCAGCCAAGTGAAGCGCCAGCTGTATGCCGCTTTGGCGCTGGTTCTGATCTTCATCATAGTCCTCTATCCCCTGTGGCCACTGAAGCTGCGACAGGGTGTCTACTACCTTAGTTGGGGTCTTCTTGGCCTCCTGGGTCTGTTCTTTCTCATGGCCATCTTCCGAGTCATCCTCTTCTGCGTTACATACTTTGCTGTGCCTCCCGGTCTCTGGCTGTATCCCAACCTTTGGGAAGATGTGTCGTTTATGGACAGTTTCCGACCTGTTTGGGCCTGGCATGAGGTGAGTCAGCCTTTGTCCACGTCAAATAACCCAATACTAAACATGCTAACATGCTGCCCAGTCTGCCGCCGACAAGAAGAAGAAGAAGAAGGCTAAATCCGCAGCCCGCGCTTCGGCCAAAGTGCCTAATAATGCCTTTGCCGCTTCGACTGGTCAGATAGCACCAACTACTGCGACAACCACGGGCACTGATACCCAGATTAATGTTGGCAATGTCCAGCAACGGCACTACGAAGCTCCCAAGGTTGAGGAGCTTGCTGACGACGAGTAAAGTGGATAAGGCGACGGACGAGTTGCGGGGCTGATGAGCAGGTGGAACCAAAAGATTTCTCTTGAGACCCGATGGCGTTCAATTGTGTTGAAGAGACGAGGCAACGGTTTTGGTATGGATGCAGGAGAAGAAGCTGTCTCTAGGTTAACAGAGCAGGAATTGAATCATGACAAAAGGGCCATGTTTGCCGAAAAAAAAGGGCAAACCCAATGTGACGAACCTGTAGAGAACTGCATATATATATATATATATATATATTTATATATGTGTGTATGTATGTATGTATGTATGTTCATGGCATCTCCAACCACAATGTACTTGCTTTTATTTACATTCAATAAAGCTCATTATAATAGAATTCACTCCTCGCTACCCTTGGTACGCTCATAATACTTGATAGCACCCTTGGCTTGCGCACAAGTCGTCAACCGGCCGCCCGCCTTGCCAGCATCTAATTTCTTCGCATCGCCACGCTGGGGCGTCCCATTGACGTGGTAGTAATACCAAAGCTCGTTGATTTCCGTGCGCCCATTATCCTTTGATCCCTTACCAGCCTCTGTCTCATTGTACTTGGGGCCACCGCAGCCAATGAAGGGCTGCTGGCCGAATTCCTTGGTCAGGGCGTGCTGGATGTCAGAGAGGGTGTACCTGGTCGTGTTGGAAGGGCGGATGCCCGCGTCGCTGAGCCAGCGGAACGAGGGGAGGCGGCGCTGCCAGGCGACGACTGTCTCGAAGAAGTCGAACAGGTCGTCGTGCTCAGCAGCCTTGGGGCCCTGTGCCACAGGGTAAGTTAATAGAAAGGGCGCAAAAGGGGGCCCAAGCCCATGGCGGCTGGGTGTGGTTGTCGGGCAAGGGAGTTGATGTGCTTACGTAGCATTCTTTCTGGAAGGTCGAGAAACAAGTGGCGTGCTTGGAGAACTCGTGCGCCCAGAAGACCCAGTTGGGGTCGAGCTGGCTCACCCAATACTTCTTCATGTACGCGAGGAGATCGAGCTTGCCGTAGGGCTCGAACCACTTCTCAATGGACTCGCCCTTGTATGCTGGGACGGGGGTGCCGCCAGGTTGGCCGTTGGTGGTGTTGGGGGAGGGCTTGGGGTCATATTGCCGGCTTAGGTCGCAGTATTGCGTGTACGAGCCTTGGACATGAGTTAGATGCTATTGAAAGAGACTGTGGGTAAGAAACAAGGGCATGCTGGAAAACTGGCCGTACCGTTGCAGAAATCTGTGCAGAAGGTTAGAAATAAGTCTGCTATTTTCCGCACAGGTGGGAGGATGGCTTGCTTGCTGCTTACCGGGCCACAGGCCGTGGATGGACCAGTCGTTCTTGGGATAGATCTGGCCTTTGTCTTCCAGCCCGGTGAAGGTGCTCCATAGTTGGGTGGCCACCTGTTGTGAAGCAATTCCGTCAGATACTCAAGTCCCATGGAGGCATTGAAGGTCTGGTGGCGCGCAAAACTCACCAACAGGCCGCCAAACGTCTCAACGCAGCACGTGTCCTTGACCTTGTCGGGCTTCGCTTTGCACGAGCAAGACAGCAACGGCTCGACTACAGTATTCGCACCACACCTGTCAACATATATAAAAATGCAAAATCGACACGGCAGCTGCGGAAACCCACGTGTCACGTACCGAGAGCACAGGTGTGGTTATCGGGCGTAATTCCCGGATACAATCCCGCGACAGCCACCTCGGCCAAGCCCGCGAGCCCCAGGACAAGACAAGCACGACGCATTGCTGTAGCCGGTTCAACCCTCGACAAAGGAATATAGAATGCCGCCCTCGACCTCAATGGGAAACCTTGAGAGAAAAGAAAGACAAGAAGGCAAGCATCCCGATCAAGCCGGTTGCAGACGTCCAAGAATTTAAGACTAGTAGCTCCCCCACGTGCAACCGGTCATCGGTTCAACCCTCTGCAGTTTTCCTTGCTCACTTGACAAGATTCATGCTTCGGTCTACGCTTTAACTTACGGAGGCGCTTCAGCCAGCCGCGGGCACAACGGACCAATTGGCACCAAGAAAAACAGGCGACACCACGATGAAGCAGCTTGCTTCTGCCTGATTGAGCCGCTCTCCCGCTGCGGAATCACGGGCCAGCGTGGAACAATGGAACCATTGTCAAAAGGGCCCTGCAACCACCTGCCTCCGATCCGGGCCCTGGTAGGCTCAGCTTCTCTGCTCGAGCTGGAGCTGCCGCGTGCGTGGCTGGGCACTAGTTTTGTACGGAGGCGGACCATGCGGGTGTTGTGGAATCTACATATCACGGTCGGTTGCTTGACGGCGTCGTCCGAGATTTGTTGACGAGAGGGAAACCATACCAGTTAATAATATGTGAGAGTCCAGGGTTTGTGTGGGCGTTTTGGCCAAGGCGATTTTGTCTCGTCGCTTGAATATTTGATGCCACGGGTGTAATCGCGCATCGCCGTCATTAGGGGAGAGTCAGCCACACGGCTCTCGAGAGGTGGGCGAAGTGCCATTAATCTTGTTCGATCTGAGCAAGTCCTTCTAGTAAGTACCAACCGAGGTAGGTAAGCACCCTTTGGTTGTTTATATTTCGCGCGCTTGGCAAACGCCCGCACGGATTAAAGTACCAGCCGACTTCTCACCAATCGTGACCTTGAAACCAGCGATTCGTAAACTGGCTTAAACTCCAGGTCAGTACCTATCAATCATGGCTTAACAAGGCATAATTCTTTTGCAGCGGGTGTTATTTTGTCAGTATACCCAGCTACGTCTACCCACAGGCCCTGATCGCAGACTTCTTGGCAGGACCATCAGCTCGTGATTTACGAATTGTACCCAACGCACAAAGCCTGGGGAGGAATGGGCTTCTGGGGGATGGCAGTATTTTCAAACGCAACTTTCACACTGGACAAGACTCTGGAAATCAAAAAATCACTAATACTTACGTTAACCCCCGCTCGCTATGTTGACATGGAGCTCAACCTGAACAATCCCAACTCCAAGCAGGGCAACGAGTCGTCTTCGTACTTAAAGAGTAGTCAGTCAGCCAAGAGCTGCCGAGCCTTATGAAACCGAAACAGAAAAACCATTGTATTTCAGTTGGACAAGCTAAGCAACCTAGTTTCTTCCTCCAATCCCCAACACCCCATTCATTGGAGCTGCTTATAGAAAAACGTCGCATCCTTCAACTCCCCCGTCGGACTCATGCCATATCCAGGCACCCTGCCCAGCTCGACATAACCCAACTTTCTACAAACCGCCTCCGCGGCACTGTTCGTCTCCGCGTCAAGCAGCTACACCCCAAAATCCCAAAAGTCAGCAATGGACACACTCTACACACACACACACGCACATCTTACGGCTTCGCACCGCGCAGCTCGACATAAACTCACCAATATACTTCTCCCCATATTCGCCGCCTCAATCTCCAAGGCCTCCATCAAGGCCCTCGCGCCCCCTCTCCCCCTGAAGTTCTTGTGAACGAACAACTTCTCCACATATCCCCTGAATGCACCTGTTTCCGAATACGGCGTAGACAGCATGACGACGCCCATGACATCAGGGCCCTTGGGTCTCCCGCTGGCATCAACCTCCTTGACGAGAATCCAAATCAGCCTCTTGCCGTCGTTGACTTCGGCGATGCGTTCTTTCCACCACGTTAACAGCTTTTCGTGTGACAAGGGCGGCAGAAATGTGGCCACGGTGCGGTCCTGCGTGATGCACGAGGCGTGGATGGCGGCGAGGTACGGCGTGAGGTGCGAGTGCTGCTTTGGGTTGAAAAGGAGGACGATCCCGGGTTGGGACATGGCTGGTGATCCGTGATGCCGTGAAGCTTTGTACGTCGCTTGGGTTTGCCTTTGGCAGGGCCAGAGAGTGAAATGACTATGCACTTGGGAAATTCCAAGATGTGGGTGGTCCGTCTCGGTGGTAATCTTTTGAATGACCAGTCCGAACGAATGTTTGTCGGCAGGGCTTCTCTGCCGGTCCAAGTTATATCCCTGGATATGAGTGCAACTGCAAGGCAAAATTATATGAATATGCTTGAAAGCAAATAAACATCCGCATCAGCAGAGCGCGATGCCCTTTCATGTGATGGAGAACGCAAATGCAAACGCAGACGTCCACTTACCAAACCGATATTCATCCGCACACACGTCGAATGCAGTCCCGGCAGCTAACAAAACAGTACGAGCGGATGTCTCAAATGTCAAGTTCTATGGACCCAAGATGGCGTAAAGCTAGCGTTTGGTAATGCAAGTAAGTTATGTCGAAAGGCGATCGGGCATGCGGTGTTTGACAAACTTGACGGACTGACAACCGCATTCGCCTGGGGTTCTGTCGGTGGCGCTAATTGGTTGCGCAAGAGCAAAAGTGGGTGTCCCTGCAACACACCCTGCACAAGCGAGTAGCAGCATCGACGAGATGAAAATGCGACTGTCGAGACGGCATCATACTTCAGTCACCGCGTGTCAGTCTGTCAAAATTCGAACCTCAAAAATTTGAAATATGATAAGAGAAACGCATCGTACTTCTAAGAATGCTGTATACACATAAGAGCCCACCCAGGAATAATCCCAAAACTCCGTTACCCGCTCAAAAACACTTACTTCCCCCAGGATCAAACACTGGCACGTAGACGCAGGGGTGTAAAATAGAGCCCCAGCGAGTCGAGCATTAGCTAAACAGCTTAGACTTCAACTGAAGAAATATCCTCTCCTCTCCGTCGCAATGCTTGAAGAAACCTCGCACCGGAGCCACGTCCCAGTATAAAGTGACATTGAGATCCAGTAATAAGCTTGTCGCAAAAGCCCTTGACAGATCCTCCTCTTACGCTCCTGGGCTTTCCATTACGAAAACTCGGTTTAGAAATTGATATTTGTGCAAGCTGCTTTGCTTTCCAAAATAATCCGCACTGGGCAAGTTATTTTGCTCGCGGCTAATCAGCTTTTTGGTTGCTGTTGCCATTCATACCTAATAGGCCTTCTTTGAGCTGATTGATACCCATGGCATCATCCAGTCTGAAGTGTCCACCCCGAGCACGACGAGAACGACCACGTAGCCACGACAGAGTACCAAATGCCATACCAAGAACGCAGCCCATAGACAGGTATGGGTGCTCGACGAAGGCGACCTTGATGTCAAAGAAGATCTTCTCAATCGTAGACACGGTAAGCTTGTACTTAATGACGTGCGGGCCATACACAATCTTGTCAAGTGTCTCCATAATTGAAGTACGGCTAACCATAATGTAGTTACCGGTTACCGTTTGGTCCCAGTACCGACGGTTCTGCGGCCTCGTTAGTAATGGAAGATGACTGCCATACGATAATTCGCTGAGGAGTAACTTACGTCTTCGTCGTTAATGATAATTTTCTCGCCATCCTTGACGTCAATACCGTAGGTTTGTCGGATCCAACGCTGCCAGTATACACCGTCAACCCATGCAAAAGTCACTTCCTTGCGACCAGAGTTATTCATATCAACACGAATCCCCTTGGCGGCTCGCAAAGCGCGCTGATCCCCTCGATCTTCGGCCTCTTCGATTCTCATTTGTTTAGAGTCTCGTAACTTCTTACGCTCGAGCTGAAACTCCTGAATCTGCCTGTCCATCCACTCGTTTGCCGCACTTTTCATTTCGCGAAGAGAACTAGAAAATGAATCCTTGTCCACATGGCTAAGAATACCGAGAACCACAAGTTTGCCATTGAATATCTGGCGAGCATTCGAAGGAGTCAACTCTGGCACGAGGGGAAGCCATACGGACCTCATCCAGTTTAAGACTTCGTTCTTATCTCGCATTTCATTGGGTGTGATTGGTGGATAGTAGGTTGGTCTGCCTTCTCGTGAAACCAGTAGCCTGGGCCAGGTTGTGATCTTAAAGCGTTCATACAGTGTGGGATCATTGGTCTTGACTAGTTTAGCGTGACCAATGAGACTCAGCGGGATCATTTCCAGGGCTCTGAAATCCTCACTCGTCGTGGCATGATCGTAAAAGTATACAAATATGACGTCCTCAGTCTCCTCCATTGCTTTGAATGACGTTGCATTGACATCGGGAATGCCGCTGGCGAGATCGACTGCCTTGTCAGCAAATTGTACAAAGTCGCCCAGGCCACGAAGACCCAAGTACTCCGCTCTCTCGCCGCCCTTGAAGAACATAATCGTTGGGTATGCCGTGACATGAACGTCCTTACAGAGCCTAGACTCCTTGTCGCAGTTGACTTCGCCAATGTTCAACTTGCCTCGCATTGTCTTGGCAAGTTGCTCCCAAGTAGGGCCCATCGCCTTGCAATGAGGACACCAGGGGGCATAGAATTTGACGAACCAAGCGTCCTGGGTCTGGGTCACTAATTTTTGGAAGCCTTCGGCCGCGAAAGGAATTGATACACCCTCAGGGTTAGGTGTGACACTTGGTTTTTTCGGCCTCCTCTCCTTTTCTAATTCTCCAGCTGTGGGGACTTTCCAGTCGTTGCTCAATGGCTTGTTGGAAGGCTTGCCGCCCTCATCCTTCTTGGCGTCCTCATTCTTCTTGGGCTCCTCATTCTTCTTGGGCTCTTCATTCTTCTTGGGCTCCTCATCCTTGTTGACATCATCCTGTGAAGTGGTTGGAGTTTTCTTGGGGGACTCTGTAGCACCAGGCTCTGGCAAGTCTATAGTCTTGGACCGGGAACCAGGATGTTCTTTTTCGAGCCCCCTTTCAACCAAATCGCTAATTGCGGTCATACCCTTGGCGCCTTGAACCCGATCGAACGCTGCGCCGTTTTCGAACAGAACTGTCGTAGGGAATGACGCAACGTCGTGCTCGCCGCAGAGATCTGCATAAACAGTGCAGTCTATCACACCGAATCTGAAGTCGTAGTAGTTCTCGAAAGTTGAATCGTCTTTGGGTTTCGATGTGTAATAGAACTCATACAGTGTCTGGAATGTTGGGGCGAACGCTATACAGTGGCCGCACCAGGGGCTAGACTTTTAGTCAGTTCATGATGATTGGAGATGCAAAGAAAACGCGTTGTGTTGTACCTGAAGTGCTTGACTAAAAGCCATTTGCTCTTTTTGACCTCATCGGCCCAGTTTGATGGTGTCAGCTCAACCAGCGGTGGAACGGTCTGGTTATTAAATATGGTGCTCTCGACAGCATCCTTTTCTGTGTCCGAGCCTCCAGACACTCCCGCCCTGACCAGAGTCAGCGCGCTGGCCAGGAGCGACAGGATGCTCGATCTCATGTGTGGCGACGCGATGCACTTCGACAAGTGCGGATCCTATTTCGGGTACAGGAGACAATCCGAGAAATCAGCGGGAAAGGGAACTGGCAACGTGAGGCAAAAAGCTGGGTTTCAAAGCCGTCACTTGAGCCCGAAATAGTATAAGTGATGTGACTTTGGCGGTTGATTCGGTGACCCAGAGCAGAATGGATTTCGAACAAGGTGATGCAAGGATTGGAGATTGATGGATTTGTCGTACTAAAATAGAAATGAATGAAGGCAACTGAGGTGCGATCGCTTCCAGGCGAAACCCCAATGCCTCTAGATAAATGTCGATGGGAACAGACGACAGTTGGCGCGGCAAAAACGAAAAGGACTGGAAAAGGGTCAACGTCAATGTGTCAGGAGTCGTTTGCCAAACAGTCCAGGCCCAGCCACATCCGAGCCAGCGATAGGTGGCCAAAACGCTGCAAACGAAAAGACATATCAGCCACATACCCGCACCGCCACAGCATGGGATGTTCGGACTGAAGCGCTCCATAAGAATCCCGCCTTGCCATCTTGTTCACCATTGCAAGACATTGTCTGGTCGCCGCGTATGACGCACCAAGGAGTCACAAAACTGCAGCGTAATTCTTTCTTTGTTTAGATAGCGGATTTCGTCATCTCGCGTTATTTCTCCAATGATATGACGGGGTACGGAGTAGATGCTACTGCATCCGCGCAAACGGTTGAAACGTGTTGATAACTATAAGTCTCCTTCTTTTCCAAGGGTCATCAAAATATGTGTCAAGGTACTCCGTACTACGCTTTGCATATGATTCGGTGGCCTATCGTTGACGTTACTCACATTTATTACACTAGTCAGTCTGCTTCATGACTTCAGCTTGTCCTTGGCCAAAGACCGAACGTGATGGAGCGACATCAAAAGCGACAGCGAGTCGATGATTTGGAGCAAAATGATGCGCCTACATCACTATCGGCTCCCATTAGTCCCCCTCGCAAGAGTCAGCGTCGTGAATCTGAGCGGCTGGCCTCACCATGGCAATTAACCTGGATACGGGATCTTCCTGAGGAACTCAACTGCGACGCTGTTACCTTGAAGGATCTTCTTGGCGATCCACTCATCAGCGACTGCTGGGAGTTCAACTACCTGCACGACGTTCCATTCCTGATGGACGCTTTTGACCAGGATACAAGACATCTTGTAAATGTGCATGTTGTCCACGGATTCTGGAAAAGAGATGATCCACATCGGTTGGCGCTCACGGTAAGGATTGCTTCCATCACGCTAAAGAATGCCCGAGAGCATTATCTTTCTTGATTTCTAATAGGGTATAATAGGCGGAATCGTCTGAATTTGATAATGTGAAACTCCATGTGGCTCCGATGCCAGAAATGTTTGGCACTCATCACTCGAAAATGATGGTACTCTTCCGCCACGATAACACTGCAGAGGTTATTATTCACACAGCCAATATGATACCAAAGGACTGGACGAACATGACGAATGCAGTCTGGAGGACCCCCCGATTATCTCAGTTGCCAGCAGGGTTTAGGCAACTGGAAGAGTATTGCGACCTGCCAATCGGCAGCGGCGAGAGATTCAAGGCCGACCTCGTTAATTATTTAAAATCATATGACAGTCGAAAACTTACATGTCGACCACTTATAGATCGACTTGTTCGATATGATTTCTCTAGCGTTAAAGGTGCGCTTATAGCCAGTGTCCCTGGAAAACATGACATACATGACCTGTCCGATACGGCGTATGGCTGGTCTGGTGCAAAGAGGTACCTGAGTTCAGTTCCATGCAAAGAAGGTAGTTCAGAAATTGTGTCACAAGTGTCTTCTATTGCAACCTTGGGTGCCAAAGATACTTGGCTCCAGAAAACACTTTTCGACTCTCTTGCAACAAGCAAGACGAAGTCCTTACAGCGACCAAAATTTAGCATCGTATATCCCACAGCAGATGAAATAAGACAGTCTCTAGATGGTTATGCATCTGGCGCCTCGATTCATACTAAAATCCAGTCAGCTCAACAAGCTCAGCAACTGGGTTATCTACGACCCATCTTACACCACTGGGCCAACGACAGTCCAGACGGCATTGGTGAGTCTTGTTCGCCTTGGCTTGTCCGCTATTACCAAATGTGGACTTGTTGTTTGTTTGTCTGACTCGGGACAGCCTCATCACCTGAAATTAAAGCCAGGAACGGTGGAAGAGACAGGGCAGCTCCACACGTTAAGACCTATATTCGCTATAACGAGAAGGGTTCGATTGACTGGGCCATGCTTACATCTGCCAACATTTCAAAACAGGCATGGGGAGAGGCCGAGAGGCCGTCGGGTGAGCTGAGAGTGGCATCTTGGGAGATTGGCGTTCTGGTGTGGCCCGGTCTGGTCGGCCAGGATGTTTCAATGGTCGGGACCTTTCAATCTGATGTGCCGAAAGAACCAAAGGAACAAGCTGATTCCAAAACTGGTGCTGGCGGCGTCTTGATTGGAGTCAGGATACCTTATAGCCTACCACTACAACGGTATGGCGCTGGAGAAGTGCCATGGGTTGCAACAATGAAGCACGGCGAACCGGATCGTTTCGGCCGGCAATGGATGGAATGATTCTCCGAAGCTTATTGTATGTATTCTGGGTAGGTGTGGCTGATTGTGACCTTGCCAATTTGATGCATTGTCGACTCGCATGGATACCGGACGACCTGGGCTGCAATAAAATAATAACTAGTAGCACGAGCAACGTACTGCAATCCGCATATATTCCGTCCATGTCACCGGATGCAATCCATATGTGACGCCGATGTAACCTCTCACCAGAGCCTCAGCTAGGAGGCTCTCGGTTGTTACACCAGCGAGCCATCTACTCTCCCGAATTTGGCAGTGGCAGCACTCAGTACGAGGCGATGGATGATGTCTTACATACTCCGTATAGTACATGCAAATACAAGTCAAGGGTTGGTTGTTGAACAAATGGCAAGCGGTATTGGTCCGACCTATGTCGGAGCGATGGCCAATGGCGGCGATGTACTCCGGACCGGCTCGAAATGTCGGGCTAGGCGTGTCTCGTACGTTCTCCTTGGCTTGGTCCTTATTGCTTTTCTCGGCACCAGGTATTATTTTCCTCGCGAGTGGCGTTGACGGTTGTGCGACTAGCCAAGGCAAACTCCCGGCACGCAGACTGTGTGCTGAGGATGTCAAAGTTCGGGTCTGGTCATTAGGCCAGGCCGTCCCACTTTTGATGACAGCCGAAGCCCGCCTGGACTTCAATGTTGAGACCCGCCTATTCCTCTTTGAATGACGGGTCCATGACTCCTTCCAAAGTTGGGTCATGGTGGGATTTTCAGTTTCCTATTTTCTTCTTTCCTCAATCACACCACGTGCCTAGCGTGCTCAGTAACATCATTTCTCTGGCACTTTGGGGAGAGAGGAGCAACAGTCTTGTACTGTTATTTGTTTGTCATTGACCCTTTTGAATATGCTTTGTCAGGGAATCTGAATTTGCCTGTTGCTTCTTGCGCACCTCCGTATGTTCCATGACAACAGGACGTTAGACTGTGTTGTCGCATAGCATAGCATTGCTTTGCCATTCATGCGTCGCTCAACTTCTGCCTTTTGCCACGCTGATCGGAAGTCAATTTGAGGCCCTGCTGGTCCAAACAACCTTGTTCGTCGTCGCAGCACGTCTTTTTCTGCTTTTCGAGTACCCTCGGGCCAAGTTGGCGCCCTTCCAGTCAAAATGGAGCATGGCAGAAGCATGGGAACCTCGCCCAGTCGCCGCGATGTGTTGTCGAGCTCAGCCCAGCAGAGGTTCCTGTCTAGCTCCCCATTAGCTGGACGATTTCTTGCAGAAGATATAGCCGCCTGCTCCGAGGACGACTATGACGACACCGCCGTGGAGGACCATGGCGAGGCAGAACGTCCCAGTCACCTCATGTATCGCCGCCCCAGCGGCGTTGCCTATGGCGGAACAAGACCAGTTTTTAATGCGCAGCCCATTGATGAGCCCATCCTGACGCCAATGGAGAGAAGACAGTCTCGCCATGCTGAAAGGAGTCTCCTGCGAGACAACCATGTGCTGCCCCCCAAGCACGGAAACCAGAAACAGACGCAATCCTTTGCCCGTCGCTTGTACAACAGACTCTTTAGCACAAAGCTCCCCCGTGAAGCCGTTGACGAGGAATCGTCTGAATACCCTCCCACCGAAACCTCGCCGCTCCTGAATGGACATCGTGAGGGCATGGGCTCCGATGCTGGGTCCGGGTCAGCAGATGATGGGTTGGAGCAACAGTGGGAAGAAGCCATTGCGTCTGGCCGACTGCAAACGACGTGGCAGAGAGAAACAAAGACGATTGTGGCCTATTCTTGGCCACTAATTATCACTTTCGCCTTGCAATATTCTATTAATGTGACGAGCATTTTCGCCGTGGGCAGAATTGGCAGGGTTGAGCTCGGTGCTGTTTCATGTAAGTCATCCCATCCGAGGCGGCGGGCATCTACATTTATCCAGCATACATGGTGCTCCATATGAACAGGATAGGAATATCGAAAAAGAAACCAAAAGGTTCAGAAAGACTAACGCGGACGTCATAGTGGCCAACATGTCACAAGCAATCAGTTGCCTCGCCCCCTTCCAAGGCTTAGCAACGAGTCTGGACACTCTCTGCGCCCAAGCTTACGGCTCAGGCCACAAGCACCTGGTCGGGTTACAGTGCCAACGCATGGCATGTTTTCTCATGTTCATGTCAGCCCCGGTCGCTATCCTCTGGCTATTCGCCGACAGAATCCTCGTCCACGTCGTCCCGGACGCAGAAACCGCCCGTCTGGCAGCTCTGTATCTCAAAGTCATGATCGCCAGCATCCCCGGCATCATTCTCTTCGAAGTCGGCAAGCGATTCACCCAGGCGCAGGGCCTTTTCCGGGCAACTACTTACGTGCTCCTTGTTGCGGCCCCCATTAACATCTTTATCAACTGGCTTCTTGTCTGGAGACTGGGTCTAGGCTTCGTCGGCGCCCCGATTGCCGTCGCCATCACGGAGAGCTTATTGCCAATCCTTCTCCTCTTGTACATCGTCTTCATTGATGGCAGGCAGTGCTGGGGCGGCTTCAGCAGGCGCATCTTTTCCAACTGGTGGATCATGATCAAGCTTGCTCTACCTGGCATGATCATGGTTGAGGCGGAATGGTTCGCCTTTGAGATTATGACTCTCTTGGCTGGCCAGCTCGGCACGGAGTACCTCGCTGCGCAGAGCGTCCTTGTCACCTTATCCAGTATCTCTTACCAGATGCCGTTTCCCATGTCCATCGCTGCATCTACACGAGTGGCAAACCTCATGGGCGCAGGGCTTGTGGATGCCGCCAAAATAGCTGGCAAAGTGGTGCGTGGAATCTCTCTCCCTCCCCCTTCTACCCTCTCTCTAATTATTCTCTCGTCCTGTCTCCCGCCCACCTTTTACTAACATACGGTATATAGACCTTTGTACTAGCAAGCATCCTTGGCGCCCTCAACGTCACCATCTTCTCCTCCCTCCGCTTCCACCTCCCCATCCTCTTCACCAACGACCCAGAAGTCATCAAGATTGTCGCCAGCGTCCTCCCCCTTGTGGCCGTCATGCAACTTTTCGATGGTCTCGGCGCAGGAGCTCATGGCCTCCTCCGCGGCATTGGCAAGCAATCCATTGGTGGGCCAGCTAATCTCATCTCCTACTACGTGATTTCCCTCCCCATCTCGCTTGGCCTTGCGTTCGGCTTAGGCTGGAACCTTGACGGCTTATGGATTGGTCTTACTGTCGGCTTGGCACTGTAAGTGCTTTTTGCCGCTTTTTTTTTTTTGCAAAATCCATTTTGGAAAAAAAAAACTGACGTTTTCTAGGGTGTCTATCATCGAATACACATATCTCCTTAACACAGACTGGCATAAAGCCGCCCTTGAAGCAGAAGCCCGAAATGCCGCTGGTTGAAGATCCTAAATCACTCACATCTATATCCAACTGCTTTTATATTCTGCCGACTTTTTTTTTTCTTTCTTTGTTACTTTTTGCAATATACCCTCCCATCCTGGTTGGATCATAAGCATGCACAAAAGATGCTGGCATTATAAGCATTGTTTTGGAAAGAGTTTCGCATGTTCGCATGGAAGCAAGGTGTTGTACAGTAAACGGCTGCCGTCTATTGCATATGCTGTCTTGATAGCGTGAAAAGAAACTGGTCCGGTGCTTTTTTTGCCCTTTTATATGAACAATGCTTCCTTTGTGCCTTTGGATGTTCACAGTAGCCATGGGGTCATTTCGTACAGGCTTTTCACTGGGGTAAGATCAAGCTATTGAAAAAAGCATACATGTGCTACGTGCGTATCATACAAGACCCAAGTAATTACCGTATCATCTTCCGCTCTCCTACGTCCAATTTCCGCCAAGTCGCTGTCCCCCCCCCTCCCCCCCTTTTTTTTTTTTTTTTTTTTTTTGTTTTCTGGCTCCTTCCCGCCCGCCCTT